ATGTCTTTTGGTGAGGTCCTGAAATGTGATAAGGAAAATAAACATTTCCTCAAAAAAATATTGGGGAGAAAGGAGCCAAACTATTACTGTTAGTATCTGAAACAATGAACAACCAAAAAGTTCAAGACAATTAACATCTCATTAGAGTAAGAGGATTCAATACTGTTGGCTAGTCACAAACTAGAAGAGATAAGGGTCCCGAGCCCAGTGGATTCTTATGTACCTTCAAGACAAAGTAGAAACTGCAAGATGCTGTTTATGATGGCAATGAGGTGGACAGTGTCTCGGAATAAATATAACTTAGAGTGAGTGAATTCTTTGATGAAAACCTTGTAATTCTTCTGGAGAACATTATGAGAAATGACAAGCCAGCCTAGGCCACAGAGTGAGTTTCTGTCTGAAAACAAAAACCAAACTGAAACAAGAGTGAATGCTCAGAGGCAGGCGCAGGTCAGTGGTGGAGGGCAGGCCCAGGTTTAGTCCCCAAGAGAAGAGGAAGGAGGAGGAAGAGGAGGGGGCGGCAGTGAAGGTGAGGAATCAACTGTCAAATGAAGGACAACTGTAAATGCCATGCTTTCTGTTAAATCTCGTCTTTCCTACTTCCGTGTGTGTGCTCACGTGTGTGCTGTGTGCTTATGTGTAGTGAATGTGCATGTGTGCGTGTGCATATGCTTATGGAGGCTGGAGACTGACGTCAGACATCAGCTAGCTCTTGCCTCTCATTCCCGATTCAGGGCTAATCAAATCCAGGGCTCACTGATAGGACTAGCCTCACTGCACAGCTTGCACTTGGGCAATACTATATCTGCCTTTGGGAGTGGGAATTACTGGTGGCTGCCACGCCACCATGCCTGGCTGGAATTTCCCTAGGTCCTGAGAATTTTAACTCTCAAGTCTGATCTTCATGTTTGTGTGGAAAGTGCTTCAACCTCTGAGTATCTCTCCAGTCTCAACATTTCCTCCCTCCCCCTCCCTCCCTCCCTCCTCCGTCCCTCCGTTCCTCCCCCTTTCCATCCTTCCTTTCTTTCTTCCTTCTGCCCTCCCTCCTTCCCTCCCTCCCTCCCTTTCTTTTTCTTTCTTTTTTCTCTTTCTTTCTTTCTTTCTTTCTTTCTTTCTTTCTTTCTTTCTTTCTTTCTTTCTTTCTTTCAACAAAATAAGACCAGCTGACACTTGGTAGGGAAACTTTCAAAAACAGTTACACAATGCATGGAAAAACAGATCAGAGACCAGGAGCTTGCCCTACCAAGGCAACAGGAGTTATTCAGTAATGGGGGGGGGGGGTTCAGTTACTGAACAAAGCAACTCTGATTAGCAGTGTGATTCTTGTCCTGGCACAGGAACAATAGCAGGATCAATAAATGTCCAGACATAGATGTATCTTAGACCAGTGATGAAAGAGCCAATCATTCAATAAAAATTATTTCAAATCTAGATATTCTTGTCATGGAGGGATATTCCCTGACTCAGCCATACCCCTCAAAAATAAAATAAATTCTAGATGGGTTAAATATATATATAAATAAGAGAGGCTGGAGAGATGGCTCAGCACTAAGGAGCACTGACTTCCCTTCCAGAAGTCCTGTGGAATATTCCTATACACTGTGTGAATATGTGTTGCTGTGATTAATAAAGAAGCTGAGTGGCCAATAGATGAACAGAATAAGGTTAGGTGGGAGAGCCAAAGTGAGAATGTGGAAAGGAGAAGGGTGGAGTCAGAGGAGTCACCAGCAGGTGCAGAGAGAAGCAAGATGGGCATGCAGTGCTGAGAAAAGGTACCCAGCCATGTGGCAGAGCATAGATAAGAAATATGGTTAATTTAAATGCAAGAGTTAGCTAGTAAGAAGCCTGAGCTATTGACTGAGCATTTGTAATTAATAGTAAGTCTCCGTGTCGGTTATTTGGGGGAACTGGTGGGTGGGAAAGAAATATCCGCCAACAAATGGTACCCAAACTTTATGCAACTACATCCATAAAACCTGAGAGAGCTTGGAAAAGGGTTCTAGACACACAGAAACAGAGCCAGGAGCAGCTTCCTAGTCTCATGTCTCTCATACTGGCCTATGGTACAGGGACGTGTCACCTGACCACAGCCTGTGAGCTTGAGCAGCCAGTGCACTATGAGCTAAGCCACATGGCAGGTTCCCACAATCTGTCACGCTGGCTGCTGTACAGAAAAGCATCTCCTGGCAGCTGCCTGCAAGAGGGAGCCAACTACCAAAACAGAGGTGGAGGGCCAAGCCACACCGCTTAGCAGTCTAAAGGCTCAAAGACCTAGGTTCAATTCCCAGGGCCCACATGGTGGCTCATAACTGTCACTTCAGTTTCAGAGGATCCAGTACTCTTTTGGCTTCCATAGACACCAGGCACAAATATGCTGTACAGACATGCATACAGGCAAAATACCCAGTGTACACACACACACACACACACACACACACACACACACACACACACACACACACGCGTGCGCGCGCTATCTCAAACACACACATATAATGGATATATATATATATATATATATATATATATATATGAATGTTATTTATATATAGTGGTTAATATGTATATATCTGCTAAGGTGCTGGATATGGTGGCACATGTCTCTGATTCTGAGGCAGGAAGATCAGGAGTTGAAGGCCAGCCTCAGGTACATAGTGAATTCCAGGTCATTCTGGCTATAGGAGACCCTGTCTCAAGCTCCTTCTCTTCTGGGGTGGGGGAAACATGTACAAACGACAAAATAGTGCTAGGAAAGTGCTAGAAAGCAGTACTAGAACGTGCCTGGATTCCCTGAGGTGGCAAAGCCTCTATAATGAGAGCATGACTCATACAGAAGGAGGCACAGGCTGGTAGATGAGTGTGGCTTTCTCTAGACACTTTCCTTCTCCACTGGGTGGTCTTTCCATGCAATGTATCAATGCTTTGGGTGGTTTCATTTTACTCCCACACTCCCAATACTTCCTGTTGGTCTCTAAGAAGGTGAAACCGACCAGTGGTGTGTGTGAAGGGTCGGGTACAGGCTTCAGGATCGGGGAACAGGGCACTGTACTATTGGTTTGGCCACTGGGCCTTAAGTTGCTCTTTCATCCTAGGAGAGGCTTGATAAGCTCTACCTTCCCTGAAGGAGTCTGTGATTCGATCAGACA